ACCCGTTGAACCGCCATATCCGTCTTACGATTACCCTAATGAAGAAGGCAACACCGCTTTCCCTGAATCAATTATACCTGAAACTGATAATAATGTAATTAACACTCGTGAAATCAGTAGTACAAATGACAACAGGCCTATGATCAGTATACGTTGGAATCCGTTAAAGCCTGTGATAAACTTTTTAGTTGGTTCATTGGCATTCATACTCAATGTCATTGGATCAATATTCTTTTATATATATTGGGTGATTAGGGAAACACCAAATTTTGTTTGGAAGAATTTAACCGAAAATGAAAATGGACCTTTCATAGAAACAATAGTTGGAGTTGATCGCAATGTACCATCTACCACACCTAATTACGTTGTTATTGCTATTACTAACGTTCGTAGAAATAATAAATTATTCTGGTTGTTTTTAATTCCTTTGATAGCGTTACTTTTAGTTATTATTATTAGCTTTGTTGATGATAAGAGTATTTTTGATTATTTCCCGCGACATCGCTCGTCTGACAAATTTTGGTTTTGGCCTTTAGACAATTCTACATATACAGTACAACCAATCGGAGAAGGTAGTAATGAGAATGATATTGCAGCTGGTGGGAAGAAAGGAGCTAATGGAAGGGCGGTATTTACAATGGATGATCTTAGGAAATTAATTGCTGCTGAAGTTGAGAACTCATGTAAGAACAAAAATCCAGCTATTCCACCTAGTAATGATCGTATCAGATCATTAATCAATACAGAAGTAAAAACTTTATGCTCATCTGAAGTTAAAAAAGAAATGGCATCATATAGGACAGGCCGTGTCCCATTAAGGGGAGAAGAAATGATGGAAATAATACGTAAAGAAGCAAGAAAGGTCGTTTCAGAAGAACTTTTAGTGTTTTCACAAGATAAGCTAAATAAACCAGATTTTGCTTTGTACTCTGGGGGTGCAAAAGTAATCAGTCGGTATACAAGTAAGACCTATGAATTATGGCCTGATAAATGGTATCAGCGAATGTTTGCACAATTTTCAGGTCAAGGTATTCTACGCGGAAAGCCGCCAGTCACAGCTATATCACCAGATACTCATGTTGGTCAATGTTGGCCTTTTCCGGGTTCTGAAGGACAATTAGCAATCTTGTTAAATCGACGGGTGCACGTTACTGCAGTAACTTATGATCATGTTAGCAAAGATGTCGCCGTAGATGTATTAAGTGCACCTAAAGATTTTGAAGTTTGGGGAATCGTCGATGATGGTACTGTTGGAAAGGCTAAACAACTGGACAATGATGGATATGAAGAAGAGCCATTAGAGTCACAAGAAGAGGAATGTGGTGTTCGTGAAGATGGTGAATATGATTCAGGCGGAAGTAACAATATTCCAAATAAAGCACGCCCTAAAGCGTTAGATGCTGACCCTTCAATCGAAAATTCCACTTCTGGTGAACTTAAGCTTGGTTCATCACCGCTCCATCACTTTTTGGGAAGATTCACCTATGATATTAACGGATTACCTGTACAAACTTTCGAAGTGAGCGAGAAAATTCGTAATTCGAAGAAACCTGTAAGGGCAATCATTATGAAAGTACTCAACAATTGGGGAAAACCATCGTATACGTGTCTATATCGGTTCCGTGTGCATGGTGATCCAGTAGATAAGTTGGATAGCTAATAGTCAAGTTGATATTTAAATAAGTTATTTCTTGGGTATATAGATTGGAAGATTATTACTTTTGTGGAATATTTATAACTTCGTGTTTATATATAAAATTTGTAATTTTTGTATTTTTTTTTGTTTTTTTTTTTTTGTTTCCTGAGCAATAAAAATTTGGCATTGTAAGTTTTAATTATGTATTTTACATAAAAATTCTATTATAAAATTTTTAAGAGCATACATGACATACTTTAAAAAATCTTAATTATTCCAAAAAAAAATCGTAATTTATTTTAAAATTTAACAGTTCTACCCTTAATCATTTATATATGTCCTTGATGTCTGAGGCGCTATAATAGAATAAGACATTTCCGTCATATTCTTTAAAAATTCAGCGGAAGAAGCACATATCGGCCATGTAATGGTAAAGCAACAACACTGTTGAATTGCAATGTTTATGTTCAGGTATTTATATTATTTATAAAAAAGCTTGGAATTAATCCATTAACCCATTAAAGCTTTAAAAATTCTTATGTTTTTTACGTTTAGAATAGATACACACGGGGAATAGACTATATGTGGTATTATATAAAAAAAAAAACTTTATTTTCTTATATAGAATTTATTTTTATAGAGAACACATTTTATTAATTTTTCGTGAAATTTACGGTTTAATATTTTAGGTAAAATTTGCGAAGACCAATAGTATATCATACTGTATAAGCAAAGTTACAAAGCCATTACTTTTTAAACTTGAAAAATTTAAAAAAGTGGCTGAACCAAGTCTTTTTTGATGTTTAAATGAATATATATATATTTTTGTTCTTTTGATTATAGAGATATAATTAATCATTGTAAATTTTATCCTAAAATATTGAACATAGAACCATTAGCGTTAGGGCTACATATCCATTTAAATTTAGATTGTATTCTATATAATAAACTTTTAGATATTTCTGGCATTAACTCGATACTGCGCTGTAAATAGGCTATTACAGTAGCATCAAAGAATAACTCCTTATCTGGATTAAATTCTTTACATTCACTTCTTATAAGGTTAGTTCACCATCAGGTGGTGTTCATTAACCATCAAGTGGTTTCCATCTATCGTTATGTGTTAATTATGTGTTAAATAAATAACTATATATTGACAAATTGACAAATTGCCAAGATAATCTATAGTGTATTTCGTATATACTGTCACTGAAACAAGGCGAATCTACTCCGTAGTCGTCATGACCGAAGAAGACCACTGCAATATGATCTAGGCTATAAAAGATCCGGTTATGACTTATCCGAGTGGCAATAAATAGCCGAATTAACAAATGTGAAATTAAGAATACTCTAATGAAATTACACGTATTAGAAGGTTTAGAGTAAAGAAAATAACAACGACTAGTGGTTGTATTCCTTTAATGAAATATTATTACAGCTGTTTTCATAATTTCTGGGACACCTGCTCATTACCCGAAATCTTTTTGGTCGTTCGGTAAATTACCTAAC